TTTATGTGGAGCCCTAATTCAGTATTCTGATTTACCATCAGACTTCTTTCATAGTCTGCCAAAAGTCTTATTTCACTAAGGCAGTTGACTTTGGGGAGAAAGGGGAGGCTTAACTTTTTTATTTTTATGCTCCACATTGAAGCTACTAATTTTAACATATGTCTGAGACTTTGGATGGGATCAATAGCTGAATTAAGTGAGTAGTGATAGGAACCGCAGCATCAGGAGGGTTTTGTATAAGAACTGTATAGCTTTGTACTGAAGTGAAAGATTTCAGGCCACTTTTTTTCTCTGATAACTGTATACTTCTATAAGTTTTAGATCTCTAGATATCCAGATGCTTTAGTGGTAGAAGTGTGCAAGATAAGTGCTCACCTGAAATGTAAACCCTTGAAGTGGCTACTGACTTAACACTGTATTTACTCCTTTACTATAAAGGTTATTTTATTGGTAAGATACTTGCTTTCTGGATAGCCATTATACTAATTCATGTTTGATGTTTTAATCCTGCTTCTATGGAAAGTCAGCCAATTCCTACACTTCCATTGTAAGGCTTTAAACAAAGCTGTGTATAAAGCATGGGATTTAAAGCAATGCTGTGTTACAAATTATGAATGTAACAATAGGAAAAGACTGTTGTGACCCTCTTTAAAATGATGTTTACAATTACGAGTATTTCAGAGAAATAGTAGTAAAGGAGAGGGAAAAATGCTGGTGTAAAAGTACTATTCTGTTGCCAAATGTTTTGTTTCAAGCTGGATGTATGTGTGCTTGGGGAATGCTAGGTCTTTGTTTCCAGGATGTCAGAAGAAAACATCTGATTTCAGTGTTTTAGTTTTAAAACCCATTGGTCTGTTAACGGAAGTGAGGCGGGTGGATATGGGACTTGAATTGAAAAGCTTGCTTTTTCATAAGAACTCCAGGAGCAGGTAATATACCAAAAGCAGCTCCCTTCTGCCATTCGCACTTGTCAGGTGTGTTTTGTCATACCTGGCTGTAGTAAGGGACATAATGTACAATTCTTCCCAGTTACATCAGACATTCTGTATCTGAAGTTCTGTGGATTCTGCTGTTATTCTATTTAGTTTTCCGTCCCAAAAATAGTGTTTGTACTTTTCAAGGCATACCCGAGTACAGTTTTTACCTTGTAATCCTCTGCGGTGTCAACTTTGCAGGGAAGTAGAAAAATCTTAAAAGACTTTGCAGTCACTTGTTAAGCTGTGAAGACTTGAAAAGTATGAAGGCAGAAGTCAGTGTTTCTTCTTGACTTGCAGCTCTGGATGCTGTTGTTGATTCTGTTCACACGTCCAGAATTTTAAGAGATTGTATCACCCTTGAAATGTGTCCACAGTCTGACTATATATATGTCATGTGAGTATATATGCATAACTGAACATGACATGACTTTCAGTGTTAAAAGGGGATCATGAAATGCAGTCTTACCAGTCTAATGGCTGTCTCTCCTTTTTAACACTTGTATGCTATTAGTGAACAATCGAAATATTTGAAATTGCTTGAGCAAAAAATTTTTCCTGTCATTTTCTTTGTGTAATTCTGGGGTTTCAGATTGGAAGATAGGAAAATGTTTAACAAGCTTCAGTAATATACAAGTAAAAACCACAATTTCTATGAAAGCAAAACCTTAAGTTTCCTGAATCTGGATCATGAGCATGCATTCAACTCGATCCTTTCCTTTAAAGTAGCAACAGGACACAGAACTATACTTTTGCTGTTTTATAAGACCACCTATGACAAGTAACCTTGTTCTGCGTCCAGATGTGTTTCATCTCCTGAGATGAGTATTTAGAGTAGTTCACAGCACAAGTAATAGATCAGTTTCAAAAGTTGGTGGTTTTTTTGTGAACTTCGAGCAAGCTACAGTTCTATATTTGATAATTTCAGGAGGTGGTTAAAAAAAAAAAAACAAAACAAAACAACAAAACATACTGAATGCTTTCTAGATTATCATCTAAAAACAGTTATGGAGAGCACTTTGTTTCAAAAATCATGATTTCTGCAGTGATGATGCAACAGTAGTATTTGATTTAACTTGCTCTGTTTCAAGCAGTGTGCTTGTGTACAAATATAAGGAGCATTGTTACTTGGTGTACATGATGCTGTATTACTTGTTCAAAATAGGTCCTATATAAAAGCTATTATTGTAATAATGTTCTACATCTCCAATAAACAACTTTTATAATCTACTTCCTTCCTTGACCCCCCCCATCCTCCAAAATAAATGACTTTTTTTGAACATGTAATCTTGCTCATCACTATTGCAAAACGAGTAAAAAGAGTAGTCTTTTGTTACAGTAATACTCATGATCATTTCACACACTAAGAGTCATGGTCTCTTTGTGTCACAATCTCTTTGTTGTCTTTCAGTAGATTCAAAGTTTAAGCAAGAAGTTGAAACAGTGGATGTACTCTTAGTGCTTCTGTAACAAGAATCCAGAGTTTTACATGTATGTTACTGTTAGTGGTTTTTCCCAAAGACATAAATAACATAATTGCTTTCTGAAAGTCCATTTTCATCTCTCCCACCTCATAAACCCACTTGCAAATCCTGAATTTGTTTGCTGCTTATTTCTTCAAAAGGAGATGAATGGGCTTGATTCTCCTTTGCTAGGGGGGACTCATCAAGGAAGAGCAGTAGGCCATCGGCATGTCTGCTTCCAGGTTATATAATGTGTATTACAGCCTTTTTCTTTTCTGCACAGAGATTTCAGTCCTTCTGTGACCTGCTGCTCATCTCTGTTAATAAATGTATCATTTCCTTCCTCTCCAGCTTTGAGAGAATTGTATGACGGAATTTTGTTTAAAGATGCTTACCACTTCTTCCACTTTTTCCTGAATGTGGGAAATACCACATCCAGGCAAAGGTTTTCTTAAAGCTGTGAAAATGTATTTGTATCAAGTATGGGGAGGAAAAGATTAATTTTAAGTAGATAAAATAGAAAAGGTATTTTGGAATAGGTTAAGTGTGTCAAACTCTTTTTCAGTTAAATCTTTTCTGGAGTTACAACAGCTACCTATAGCATATACAGGAGGGCTCCTGCTTTAGCTGCAGTGGAACTAGTTAAAAATAATACGGTATGGGCATCAATTTTGAAACAGCTTATGTATGGCTGAGAAATAGGAATTTCCAGATAGGACTGTTGTCTTGTATAATGTAACCAATACATTTTAAAGGAAGGCTTAAAATCATAAAGCTATAATCAAAGTACCCTTTCCCCCCCCAACAAGAACCCTTCAATAATGAAGTAATTTTGGCTTTACCAAATGACATATGTTGAACTTTTGAGGCTGTTTGTGACTTACTCTGTGTTTCTGTATTTAAACTTTATTTACATAAATCTTTCTGTGATTGCAATAGGTTAAAACTTAAGCCTGTCAGCTGGGTTTGTGTATATATCTAATACACTTATACCTGGAAATCTGACAGAATATTCTCTCCCAAACACTATAATTGAAATTGATTATCAGAGTGGTAATAGTTAGTAATACACTTCTGAGGATTATACCCATGAGCAAATTTTAAAGGAATGATGCAGCTGGATGGGCAAAAAGATCTAAGTGTATTTTCTATAGTGTATCCTGAGGTATTTTCAAATCTTGGTCTTTATGAAGACTGATGCTCACCTTTAATAAAAACTTTCTGGGAGATTAACCTTGAAAGTAATCATACTGCTCTAATGTAGGCAATGTTATTTTACCTTAACCAGTAAATAGACATTTTAATAATCTACTTTGACCTAATTAAGGGCCAATTCTAAACCAAAACTTTAAAACAAATCACCAGAACTTTAAAACAAATCACAGAGTGTTGTCTAAGCCCTGACACTGAAACAAGCTACCTTTTTTTAAAAAAAAACAACCAAACAAACAACACAATAGGTATGATCCCATAGTGCTGTTTTGCTGCTTCACTGTTTCTGTTTCCTTTTTCAAAATACAGTAAGTGTAACAAGGCAGAAAAGGTGTTCTTGCTGAGATTCTTACTAGTTTTTATACATTTCAGAAGACTCCCTTCCATTTATGGACAACACAAACACATTTATAATTTACTTTGGGGATGTCTTATTTAAAAACAAAAAACCCACTCTACAGGTAGCGTTAATTAAATGCTTAACTGAAGCTTTTAGCTGTGCTTCACATAATAGGTCATTTTTTAGGGGTCAAAGTTGACCCTCTTGTTTATATTGTACACCCGATGTGTGTTTCTTGAATCGATGGAAACTTCTTCAAAAAAAACATAGCAAAATGTCAAAAACATCCAAGCTGTTAGTAGCAATTTTTTTCTCTAGAAATTAGGGCATTTTGAGTCCTACTGCTATACCTAGCCTATAGGCCAAATAATTACTTCCATGAAGTGGTAATTTTGTTTCCAAATCGTTGGAAGGTCAAGGGACTGCAGTCTGGTTGATGGCCTCTGTAAAGAGGTTGCCTAAGGAGCTGCTATCTGCAAGTGCCAGTCTGGTTTCTCCATACTTACATGCTGTACTGCAAACTTTTCAGTGTCCTGAGATTATATGTCTATTAAAACTGGCTGTGAGAGTTGCAGCAGGCCTATACAATTCTCCCTAGGAGGCCTGTGTCCAGAATTAATAAGATGGAGGAAAAAGTGCTAGGCTGTGCAGAGTGTGAAGTTCTCCTGTTGTGTAGTAATACTATGATTTCTTGACTGCCAATCAGAAGTTATAGTCTTAGACTTAAAGTGCAAACTGTTCCCATAAAGAAGAGAGAATACAGGCAAACATGAAGATTGCCACTTTGCAATGTGTAACTACCATGAAAAAATTGTATGGTTTGTATTTTATACTTTTTCTATTTCTGTAGAGAACAGTGAATCTGATATTGTAGTCTTAGGACATAGTGTGACAGTGTGTCTCACCTAATGTTTTGGTTTTTTCCTTTTTTTTTTTTCTTTTTCTTACATTTACTAATGTAAGAAAAGCCCGTACTAAGCTTTCTAAAAACTTATCCATTTTCTTTGAAAGGTATTCTCTGTTTTATCACCACTTGAAGAACATTGAGGAAAATGAAGGAGGCCTTGATAAATTTTCAAAAAGTTACAAAACGTTTGGAGTAAATCAGTTTGTGGATGGTGGAATATATTGCAAAGAATGGGCACCAGGAGCAGAAGCAGTGTTTCTCGCAGGTGACTTCAGTAAGTATTTTTAGGAATATTTCTTATCTCTTCTACTATGTTTTAGGTCAATATCCTCTGCACTTAAAGACAATTTTGTAGAAATGATGAAATTCTAGTAGTAAAAATGTATGTCATGACTTATACTAGTCATACTTTTATACTACATTGCAGTAGCATGAAAATGTACATATTTCTATTGTATGGTCAGTATTACGTGTAGCTTCTTTTTTTTTTTTAATACCCACAATGGCTTATGTAAAGGATCTAGCCTGATTACACTGCAACTTTAGGCTGCATCTAAACCACCTGAGTTTCTTCCTATAGCTTTACAATTAGGCTTCTATAAAACTGTATGCAGAGGAGAAATAACAGTGGAATAACTTGCTTCATCTTCTTTTACTGATCTAACAGAAGTGTGTTGTCCAAGGACCAAGGCTCTTCAAAATTCCCACTCATCATGAGAGTGTAGACAAAAGTCCTGCTGGAAAATGGTAACCTAAAATCAAACTAACTTGCTTGTGAAAGAGCAGGTAGTGTTCTCTTTTAGGGGATGAGAAGGAAGAGTGTTAGCAGAACAGGAAGGTGGCGGGATTACATGGAGGAGAATTGCGTTGCTTACTCCAAGAACCAGGAAGGTGAATCACCCTCTTTGAACTTGAAACAAAATACAAATTTTCTCCTTAATTGGAAATCTAGCTACACTCAAATCATGTTCTGCAAGTTCTTAAATGAAAGTGATGTGCATTTTTGATCTTAAATTCTGCAACACTAATTCCACTCCTTTTTGTTTTGTGTTTAGGGGGATTTTTTTCGGTTTTTCCCTTTCACCTCTTTACCTTCTTCAGGGTTAGATATTAGTCCATCAAGGTACTAGGGATTTCATTGCTGACTCTTACTGAACTGGGACTCTATGAAAATATTTTGTTCCTTTAACTACATTTCAGAAGTATGCAGTGTTATTTATCCAACTTCTGTTTTGTGGAAATACTGATCTGGTGAATGTTCATCATGTGTATTTATATTACAAAAAATATATATATAACTTGCCAGTTTGAGCCAGTTTACTGCTGCTTAAACAAAAAGTTAAATGCTGATTTTCATTCTTTTATCCCTGTTTAAGGAAACTATGAGGGGGTAATAATCTTGAAAACTGTATGTGCTTAGATAATTTTAAAATAAGACACATTACATATACCATTAGTTGTAGTATCTGATGGTGCTTTCTAAAGTACTGTGGTTAAGCTGTAAAAATGTGCTATAGTAAAGAAATAAATGGACTACCCTGGCAGTGGTTTTAGATCCATTGTTTTTCAGTGCTTCATAGCAGTCAATTCTAGTACTGTTTTCCATAGTCCCAAGTTCAATACACTTATAAATAGAATAAGCAAAATAAAGTGTTTAAATATTCACGTTGTGCTTCAGTTTCCAAACAGTCACAAATGCTTCTATTTTAATTCTCAGAAATTTGTATTTTCTCTAAGAACTCAGTGGGATGGTCTGTTCATTATTCACTGTGATAATTTGAGTCTACAGAAAATGATTATTTAAAAAAAATAAATAAACACTGTTTTTGACGCACAAGACAAACCGAAAAGTCAGTGAAACACTGTTTTCAGTTGTGATCCTATTTGACGTGGTTAACCTAGTGAATGATAGAGTAGCTTTCCTTGAAATACCCTTGTCTTATTATTGGAGTAGACACTGATAAAATAGGTTAGCGTAGTACTTGAATTTTAATATGGAAATCAGGTATGTCCTCTGATTCAAAACTGAATAATGAATCACGAGTATAGTTCACCTACTGTTAGATAATAGTCATTTCAGCTATCAATACTGACTGCAAGACAGCTAGATGAAGATACTTAAATATCTCAACTTTATATGCACAAATAAACAGAAAATTCTCTTCCTTACCTGTCTTCTACTTGCTGCAACCTTACCCATTGCTCAAGGTTTTTGTATTTTGATGGCTATAATAGTATTTGTTAAATTTCTCAACAGAGTTGAAGACTATAATACATTCATTTTAAATAAGTATTTTAATAGATGGCCATTTTAAAAATAGACTTTTAATTAAATTAATGTCTATTATTTTAAAAAGAGGATATAATTTGTAAATTGTCTTGTCAGGTTGAGAGGGGGAAAGTACACACATACCAGAATACAGTAGCTAAAAGCCATGATGGTTTTCTAATCTCTACTTCATTTAAAATATTTTATGTAATACATAGTACGAAGCAGAAATGAAGGACTAATATCTTAGAGTAGTTGTATCTAGATGCTAATGAAATGTGACAGTAAGAAGTCAAAAGACTAAAAAGAAATTCACTTTAATGTGGAAAAACTACATTTGTCCTATATATCATGTTCATCAGTCATAGTAAAGTATTCATTCCCAAAGGGGAAGATAATATACTTGGAAAGCCTGGAGGAATGGAAGATTGTCATTCAATTCAGATGAGCTTTAATAATATTCTGATGAGAAATTACGTTGTAAAACCCTAAGATTTAGATTCAGGTTGCTACAGATATGTTTAATTAAAACTGAATCCCTTTAACCTTTCTTTAAGTTTTCAAGCAGGTTAAAGTCTCAAACTAAATTTATGATTATATTGTATTTAAATTGAATATCAGGATTGTTTTTAATAAGATTTTTCTATAAAACTTTTTATAAAGAGAATTTTAACTGAACCATGTGGGGGGAAGTGGGAAATCTTACACAGAGAAACAAACATGAAACATAAATGACAGCAGCTCTTTAGGTTTTAAACTGATGGTCAATCCATGCTTTGTTTTTTAGTTCTCTTGTAAGATGATGGATAGCAGTGTTTTCTCTGTGTTGCTTAATATGATATTGTCTTCAAATCTCTTAGATGTTTGATGGAAAGACACACAAAACATTAGACCTTGCTATTTAATCTGATAAATTTGGGGATGAAAAACTAGTAAAAATTATAATGGTAAGTGCAGGCTGTATTACAGAAAACTTCTTTCAGAATTTATAATTAAGCTGATAGCTGATGATAACTTTATTATGAACTGTGCTTAAGATAAATATGAATAATTTATTTCTGTAATGATATACATGTGAAGCCTCAGTCCTGAAAATGTAGTTTTTTTGTGAATGACACTTAATGCTTTCTAGCAGACAATAAAAACTTTGATATTAAGGTATTCTGGTGCAAATAATGATATTTTTGTACCTCATTCTGAGACACTTTTAATGAATGGGATAGCTCCTATTTATAGAATAATTCTTAGTACCACTGTGCATTCTGAAAAAAAAGCTAGAATCTAGTAGTAGCACACAAATCTGTATTTGGATTGGAGAAAGAAGAATAAAAATTCAAGAAAATCCCAATACTTCAGAGTTCTTTTTGTCTCGCCTTTAAAACTCTGTAGTTGGAGAGAAGAAGGTATTCTATTTGTTGGTATTGTGGTACGATGTTTTACTCTGTCTGAAAAGTATTAAATGAACATCCAAAACCATTAAGATTTGTCAATTAGTACTTTTAGCATCTCAGTAAATCAAGTGTATGAGGCAATTAGACAGCTGAATTTCTGATACTAGAGGCAAGTATCAATATTATAGCTACCTTAAAAACTCTGTGATAACACACTGAGTATTTTAATTGCATGCTGTATTGCTGAGAAACTTGGTGACTACTGACAATTTATCGCTACTTTACAATCAACCATTTTAAAATAAGTCACTGAACTGCAAGTTTTGAGGGTAACCCACAGAATTTGTTTGGGAATTGAAACACTCAGAATTGTATTTGACCATGCGGAGACTCAATAGGTGATCTGTAAACAATGTTTTAATGTTTAAAAAAGTTACTGGCTTTAAGAAGCTTGAAGGAGTAAGTATGAATATGCTAATTTGGAAATATTTGATATAATACATTTTCTTACTTGTGTTGTGAACTTTAGTTCCTTTTTTCTTTGCCTTCCCTTCTGTCCCTCCCGGCTAACGTTAGATCTAAAATGTTGATTGCTCTGGAATATGTTTGGTTTGGTTTCTGCTTCTTTTTTCTTGTACTATTGGGGAAGGCTTCTGCAGGGGCTTAAGGGTGGAGGGAGGGTGGGCTGGTTGGTTCTAGGGAGCGATTTGTTTATTTAAACTCTGACAGGCTTCTTTCAGAGTGAAGAAAGGCGAACTGAAGCCACCAGCCCTCATAGTTTGGATACCAGACAGCTGACTGGAAACTTTCTCATACCTTAGAATGATATTCCCCCCCACTGACTTGACTCAAACTTGTACTGAAATGGTGTCTAGATACTACTGTGATATGATACGGAACTTCTTACTACTTTCTTCAAAGCTTTTTATAGAAAAATACCTAGATTTCACAAGTCAAGTCAAGTAGTGCTATATTTTTGTGGCTGCAGACAACTGAAAGCAGTAGACTGAAGTATAAGCTGCTATTAATATCCAGCAAGGCATCTTATCTGAGAAGTAATGACATTTGTTTTTATGTCAGTATTTGAGCTGTTTAATCATTTTTTAAGCAGATTATGTTAATGACCCTGCTGTTGAGCTGTTGGAAATCAGTCAGTGTAGAAGGAGCAAGACCTAATTAGCCACTGTGTAGAACAGTGTAGTATCCTTGGAGAATCTCTCTATTTCTGATCTGATTTCATATTCCAAGCAAATGGTATAAAGGTATCTTAGGGATAGTAGGATTTTGATGCCCCTTCCCTAGTCTGAACTGATATTTGTCTGATATCTTTTCCTCAAGGAAGCTGTGTGAATGCTTGCTGGACTCTGTATTCTCTTTAAGTGTCTTTCAGTTGATCAGAAGTACGTGGAATATAGAAATATAATTGCTCTGAGATGAGTTTATTGCACTTGAGAACTCAACCTCAGTTTATGAAGTTTCTTCACTTTTGGAAAAAAACCAAATAGTTACAACATTGCACTAATGTGTCATCTCTTACATTGGAACGAATGAACAATTTGGTCAATATGCAAGAAGTACTCCTTTCTCCTATGAGAAGCCAGAGAAGTGTTAGTTTCTGATATGAAACTCCAAGTTAAGCCATCAGCCTCAGAGCTGTATGGCTGTATACTTGTCAATGTGAAAACAAAGCTGGAGGATGTAACAAGAAGTCACTTAATTTATGATTTAACTGGAAGTATTGCATTTAAAACATGTTTTAATGACAGATGGTAGAATCCAAGTCATTATAGCTTTGTATTCAGTTTTAGATTAAAGCTCAGTTCATGATTCTTTGGCACGCTAAGGGTGCAGTTCTGAGTAAGAAGTTACCTTGTGCCTCATGTTGATGAGGTAGGATGTAATGTTTAAATATTTGGCTGTTTTTAAAAGATCTAATTGCGGAGATGAGAAAAAATAAAAGTAGCAGACTATTCAAGATGTATTACTTGTTGGATTAGGACATACCTTGGGCCTGAACTTTTGTACAGAAGCTCTTAACTTTGTGTATGGCTTATGGGATTTTTGTGATGGTGTCCTTTTTCCTAAAATCTATTCAAGCTGATTATTTGGACTTCCACTGGTAATCTGCTTAGCCTTTTTCTGTTTGTAGCTAATGGCAGAGTCTTTGAAGTCCCTGTTCTCAAACTAAGATATTTCTTTTGTTGTTATATCTTAAACTTCTGAACAGTCTGCTATTAAGTTTTTGCTTAGTTGGGGTTTGGTTCTTCCCCCCACCTCCCATAAGGCATTTTTGGATATGTTTTGCTGAAAAGTCTGAAAACTAAGCAGTAAAACTGCTTAGTAAAGCCCAAGCTGCTTCGTATGTGATGGAAGCCTTCAATTTTCAGGATGTCTTAACCTTTTTATGCTTCCTGCCTTAATACGAAGCAATATTTTCTGTTAAAACCTTCTTAAATGAATTCCTCTTCAGGGTAAGTAGTAAACAATGGTTTTACTTAGGACCATCTGGGGCAGATGGGTATTGCTTTGAATTTATTCTTAAGTGATGAACCACAGACACCCAAGAATGAAGGACTGTGGCTGAGAAGAAGGATTAACAGGAACATCTGGTACTGTAGCAGGTGGAAGAGAAAGTGTAAGCAACTTGAGCAGAATTGTTAAAGCTGCCTGTGGAGAACAGAGATGCTTAAAAGGGTAGAGAGATGCAACCATTCCCCATCTAAAGGAGGGAAGAGAGGTGATTGTAACAGAGATCATGAGAATTCTTTTTGAATAGTGTAAGAATTCAGCTTATTTGGTGTAGGTAGTGAACTCCACTTCAGGCAATTTCCCCAAGTGAATTTTATAGACTGGGCCTAAGACTTTTGCTGTAATTTTTCATTTTGCTCAGTGTTAGCAAGTGATCACCTGACATTTTGATTCAGTTCATGCACTGTAATCAAGAGATACAGCTCAACTGTTAAGTGTTTCGTGAAAAGCAATGAAGATGATCAGATGTCTGTGGTGAGGAAGAAGACTGAAAGAGTTGGTAGTAATTACCATACGAAGGTCTTGACTATCATAAATCCAAACAGGTTCCTTAAAGCAGTCTTCTTGCAACTTCTTAAGATGTTTGCTTTTTTGATTGTGCTTCTGTTTTCTCATTTTTAACCTGAATTATTTCGGACAGTTTAGCTGTTGGCAATTTAAAAGAAAATTCTCTTATGGGGCTTGAAAAAAAAAAAAGTCCTAGTAATGTATTCTACATCTTTTTACCATTTCCTGAAATAAAATAAATACATGTATTGTAGTGTATAAACACAATATAATGTTTGCAGTTTTGACAATCTTTTAAGAAGGATTACCTTATTGCTAAGGTATTGTTTCTTCAATGTTGGTCTTAGCCTTGGTAGATATTATGTGTGTGTTCATTTTTTTGGTTGAAACTTCAGAGTAAAGCCAAGGGGGAGGATCCACCTAGATCTTACTAATATATACAAGCTTGTCTGCTATTAATTAAGCAATAGTTTAGTAAATACTTTCCATCTGCTAATGTATGTATTTTCTGTCTACGCTATCCAAACACCTTAATTGTGATAAAAATTATCATCTAGAGTACTGAGTTAATTGTATTTCTGTTTTTGAGCATGGGAAATATTTTATTACAAAATCTTCATTGGTTCTGACGTTGCTCTTTATTGTAAAATGAATAGATACTAGAATATTTGTCTTAAATAGTTAATTTTGTCACGCTGTCTAACCCCTTCATCAACAATGGATACTATGGGCAGAATTAGAGAGGCCCTGCCTCCAGCCAGGTGGAGGTGAGCGACTGTGTGGCATTTAGCTGCTGAGTAGGCTCAAACCACAACACTATTTTCTTTGTGTCTTTCAGTTTTGTTCATTAAAGACTGGCAGTTCTCAGGGTTATACAACTGTGTCTAGAGCAACTTGTGACTTAAGAAGCAAGTTTCTCTGAAACTCAGGATACCCATATATTGTTAGAGAAGTTTATCTTTTTGTTTCACAGCAGATAATATTTTTGATTACTGATGTTTAGGAGAATATATATGTTGATGAATATGACTTCACTTCTCTACTTCCCCTGTTGTGATTTCCATGGTGCCAGAAGTGATGATCCTTCTCCAGTGGCATGTCCAGTTTTTCACTGAATTGCTTTTAACACTCACCATGTTAAGTAGCAATATTGTTTTATACTAGCTTAAGCTAGTCATGGAGATAGTTTAGGGTCTGAGCAGTTTGTTTGCTGTTATAGAGTACCTGCTTAAGATCATGCACTGTATCTTCTGTAAATAGGAGATCACTGAAGGTTGCTTATTCTTCTTTATTGAGGTGTGGTATTGGTGTTTTGTGTTTTGTTTTGTTTTGTTTTTTTTTTACAACAGGACATGGCATTCAAATAGATTAGCATGAAAGAAGATTAACAGGTGTTGCTTTAATGTCTTGTAATTCAATATTCTGTTGTGACTGATTTCTTGTTAGCTTAGGAGTCTCTGTCTTGAACTATGGGAGATATACATGTTTCAAGGCAAAAAAAAAAGGAAGTAATTTTCAAACTTGGCTTGCCACTTCCTTCTAGCCTAGAAATGATGACATTGCCTAAGTTTGTCAGTTCAGAAGCTTTATATACAGTCTCATTCATGAGTTAACTTTGAACATGCATACAAACACACACGACCACCTTGGCAGATGTCTCTTCAGTTGGGCATATCATAATGACCAACTGGAGACTTGTACATCTACAATGAGTGCTCAGTGAATCCAAGGAGGACAGAGAATCTTGAACTGTGGAATTTAAGCTTGGTTCAGTAAACTACTTTTAATGAAAATGAATCTTCAAGACCTAAAACTGGCATTTTGGGCCAAATTTCCTGGCTGTGGTGTCATTGTCTGGTACTGTGTAGTTTCCTGCCCATTGCTATTCAGTTTGTCTGAAGTTCCCCTTTATCTTTCCTGCTTTATATGCTTAACAAGTGTTATTAAAAGGACGTCAGCTTGCCAAATTAGAGTCAGTTAGCAGCAGTGTGTTGTGTCCAAATCTGATTTGAGCATTCAATTTACGGAGGTGGGTTTTGGTTACATTTTGTCCAACTTCCTCTCCATAATCAACAGCTGCTGATTAGTTTATCCTATAGTGTTGTAACAAATACTTCTACTGGCTTCTTTAGGATGTGAGATTTTTGGTTTTAAATCTACATTAAGCATTACTTTTCAGCCATTAATTTTCATACCACCATGATTTTGTGGTACTAAAATAAGTAGTGGTTTTTTTTTTGGGGGGGGAGGAGGAGATTGTTTTGACTTTGATCAAAGAAGATGAAGTAGATATAATTTAATCATTGTCAAATTAGAATTGGAGTATGGTTTCCTAGTGAAAATCTTACACATTTTAACTGAAATTCTTTTGAATGTGTATGGCAATGTCAGATATAAAAGTATTTGGTCTGCTGTCACTGAAGTTTATTCTGAAAAAGGCAAAACACACTGTTTACCTTTGGATTGTAGTTGGACACATTTAAAGATAAATGCACTTAGTATTATCTCTATATTGCAGATGACTGGAACCCATGTTCTCATCCATATAAGAAGATGGAATATGGAAAGTGGGAGTTGTTCATTCCACCTGGAGAAGATGGTTGTCCTCCTGTGCCCCATGGATCAAAGCTGAAGGTGTTGGTTCTAGACTTATTCTGCCCAATTCTTTTAACCGTTCTTACTCGATTGTCCTTTTTGTTTTCTGTGAAATAACTTTATCTTCTTTTAATTGTTCTAAGAAGTAAAATCGGTTTATCTACTTGTGCAGAGTGACCTCAGTGAGTGAAACACTAACATCTAAGTCTTTGTGATGCTTAGGTACAGACATATGTGATTATAACGTATTGTATGTTGAAAGATGAAAACAGTATTTACGTATTGCTAATTTGAAAAATAAGAATTAATGTATAGATAAAGTCTTTCTGGTTTTGGTGCAACTACTTGATATTAAGATCCTATGCAAATCTCAATACCTTGGTAACTTTTGTGATGCCTTTAACCATGGCTTTTCAGGTGATCTTTGTGTCGATTGAATGGTACATGCAACTTTGTAAAACTTCTGCCTATCCTTTAGGAATTAAGAGTAGCGAGCAGTAGGCTTAGGTTAAGTAACTTAAACTAAACACAGATACAGGGACAATTTAGCTGTGTTGTATTTCATGAGTATCTGTGAGCATAAAATCCTAGCTACCAGAAATTAATGCAAAGTTTCTTTGAGCTGTCAGCTGCCACAGTTGATTCACTTAATGCAGATATACATAATGACATCTAACTATCAGAAGAGTTGATTATTTTTAGGTGAGTACTGATTTCAGTCAGAGGGATACTTCTGTCAATTTGAATTGTTGCAGTCAGAGCTTTAGTTCCAGAGATATTGGATGCTAACAGGGGACAGTAGTAAGTAGTTAAGCAAAGAAATGTACTGAAATCATCTGTAGACTAGGAAAATTAAAAATGTGGGAGCATTTGTAAAGTGCTACTATATTTTCAGGGCTCCTGTCAAGAAAACTAACACACTGAAAAAACCCTAATTTTTCTCCTGAAAATCAGCTTAGGTAAACAAGAAATCTACTGAAACAAAGATATGCATAAAAATGCCATGGAAATGCTTACTTGATGTGTGTGCTTATCTTCATGTTTTTTTGTTATGGCCTATGAAATCACCCCAGTAATAAATATGGATAAACTGAAATTTAGGATAATCATTCAAGGATGAGAAAGCTGATTATATTTTCAAAGCATGAAAGAAAACAGTTGTCCGAAACTCAAATACAGTGATTATGCAGTAATGTATGAGACTGCACAATGGTTACTTAATAGTTTCCATGGATTTGAGATGTAAGTAGGCTAGAATTTCTTGATTGTTGCTAAATTTACCTTTATGTTGTATTTACAAAATTATTGAGCTCACCTACTGTACAATATTCTGTGCTCAGTATAGAGATAAGAGGTGTGAATGATGAGGGATGTTGATAATTATTAACAGAATAGCAAAAAACATATGTTCTTAAATGTGTCTGGAATAACTTTAAGGATTATTTTTTTTGGCTGTCTACCTTTATAATCACTGGTCATATCTCTCATTTCTGAAGTACAGGTCTTTATAGTGCTCTCTCTCTTTTCACCATATTCTTTGAAATATAAACTTGATAAAGCAAAGACTACATTGTGCATAATTTGTTTAGTATGCAAAATTTTTGACTACTGATTACTCTTGGTACTGATGTCCTAGTAAGATGACTTGCTCTAGTTCTACAGTTGCTCTGAGTTTTCTGGAAAACCATGAGACTTCTGCTAGCAGAGTGGAATATAAGCTTGTTTACCTCTTTTTTTAAAAAATTGTCTTAGGTTTTCTTTACAGTGCCACTTCTTCCTTAATTGTGCTTTTACATGGTCAGGTTTAAAAAAAGATGTATGCATCTCAATATGTGATTGCCAAACAGGCTCATGAGGCTGGACTGTTCTGTCTGTGAGATAAATTTGCTTTTGATTGTGTGTATTCTTGTCTTTAAAAAAAAAAAGTGCAAAAAATTTAGAGATTACACTTGATTCACAAGTGTACTTAATCATTACTGATGACTTCATCTGTATGGAACTGCTCTCAGCCTCATCTGTAACTTTGCTAATAACCTTTCATGACATTTGTTTTTATTCTGTTGTGCTTACACAACTGAATCTAACACATCACAGTGTGTACTTTCAGTGTATTTAGATGATACAACTAACGTGGAAAAAAGTTTCCAGTTAAGGTAATTCTAATGTTTTATCTGTCACAAAAGCTGTAATGAAGTTGGAATATTCCACATGGTAGTCACATACATTGCCCTCATGGTATGGCTGATATTTTTATCCTCTCTCATTTCACTAGTGGGTTCAGAAAACTGCTGCTTTTCTGTAAGTTTTCTTGGAACTACATGGTTTTGTTAGATTATGATCTCTCATAAATGTGTGTATTTTTGGGAACACAAGGATTTGTGTGGTAGAACATAGTTTTGCAGTTCTTTGTTCATGTAGAAGTTGAGAACACTGGATTGTTTGTAGATGGAAATTACTATGCAGATTGAAGAGCTAATGGTTAAATACACAGGCACTGTTTTCTGTGCACTGTACTAGGCAACAAAAACTATTTCTTGTTAGTAATGAAGGTACTCCCTCTTTTACTAAAGAAGTGCAAGGGAATCACAGGTTTTAAACTTTTTTTTGTCATGGTTTGAGCCTAGTTGGCAGCCAATCACCATGCAGCCACACTCTCCCCCTTCTCTTCCGGCAATAAGAAGGGACAGAGAGCCAGGCTTGGGGTTCAGGATGGGACTGGGATGGGGAAGAAATCACCCTTTATGGTCACCAGCAAAAGGCAGACTCGTTAGGGGAATAAAAAAAGAACATACATTTATTACAGACACTAACAACACGTGACAGATCAGAGGGCAACTGACCACCACACAGCTGCTCACACATCCTTTCTCTTCCATCTTATTTGTGGGACAAATAAGCCAGGCTTTGGATTGGAGATAGAACCGGGAGGGATAGATCACCTATTACAGTCACCAGCAAAAGGCAGACTTGTTAGGGGAAGAAAAAAAAGAACATACATTATAGACATTAACAACATGTAACAGAGTAGGACAGTAAGAAGCATTGCCACATCTTGAGAACACCTTCCCCCCACCCCTCCCTTCTTCCTGGGCTCAGCTCTGCTCCCGATATCTCTACCTCCTCCCCCAGCGGCGCAGGGGCAGGGAATGGGGGGTGCAGTCAGTGCTGCCACTTTCTTCCATCTTTGGGGGGGGGGGGGAGCTTCTGGAACTTGTTCCCCCTGCTCCATTGTGGTCCCCCTCTCACAGGAGACAGTCCTCCACAAACCTTCTCCATGAGTCCCTCCCACGGGCTGCAGCCCTTCCTGAGCTGCTCTGGCGTGGGACTCCCCCGCATGCTGCAATCCTCCCAGCACTGAATTACAGCAGCGGGGCTACCTTTTCCCATGAGACCCCGGCCTTCTTCGGGCACAGCACCTTGATTATATCAAGCAGAAGCCACATGCCATAAATCAGTGTCTGCTCCACCGTAGATCTTCATGGGTGTCAGGGGAGGATTGCCCTGCCATCTCACCACAGGATACAGGGGGGTCTCTGCTCTGGCACACCTCCCCCCTCCTTTCTTCCTCTGTTCCTCCACTGACCTTGGTGTTCATGCAGCTGCAGCAACTCCTCCTCACGAGTCCCACTTCTTGTCACCACGTCCCTTCTTAAATATGTTATCGCAGAGGTGCAGCTGATTGGCTCAGTTTTGGTGCAGACATAGAGCTGGGGGAGCTTTGAGAAGCTTCTCACAGTGGGCTTCCCTTATAGCCCCCTCCCCTGCTACCAAAAAACCCCACCACCCACTCAAACCCAGGACACTTTTACAAATATTATTCTTGATATTTAAGTTAAAATAGTCCGCTTTAGACATTTATGCAGTGATTTGATTAATCTGCTAAGGGAAAAAAAAGTCTCCTCCAGAAGGTCCATATGTTTAGTTTCTGTCTACTCTGTTTTCATCTTTAGTTCTACACAGGCAAATGCCAAGTTCTGAAATGGTGACAAGGTCATTCCTTTTAAATAAGTAATTTCTAAGCCAGAATGGGAAATGGATGGAGTGTAGCTGGTGACACTAATTTAGATCAGGTCACAAAATATTTTTGTAGGAGAATAAATGAGGAGCAGAGGTCAAACATTTGCCTGTTTTCAGTAGTAGTAGACTGTCTACTCTAGCTCTTCAGGCAGTCTTCTCATAAGTAAACATAAACATTGGAGAAGGTGAGTAATTAAAAAAAAAAACTGCTATAAATCTTCTAATACATTTCTGTATGAAGGGATGGATGCTTATATGCTGAGTGACTCCCTTGTGGATTATGACATCCATGTACAAAATAAGGTTTCCTGCTAGAAAAGGACACTTTTTTCCTCCCATGGATCAGTGGGGAGCTTAGTGAGTTAAGTGAACAAATATAGTTGATGTTGTATGGTGTTTTTTGTTTTATTTTTAAATTTATGACAGATTAACCTCATAATCTGAGCACAGATTAAGAAAACAAAAACAAACTGTGCTTTAATTAATTAAGCCTCTTTACCTCTGTTTCTTTAGTTTAATGGGGGTAGTTTGCAAGGTGGTCTGCGACAATCAGTTTCTTTAAACATTATCATGTTTGTCATTCTAACAGTGATGGCAGTTGGGGGCAAATGTGCTTATCTTCTTTTATGCTTGAAAATGACTGGATTCTTCCTTCGTTGCCAGAGTGTTCTTAATTACCTTTTCACACTGTATAGCAGGTTTTTAGAAAAATTAACGTGGATAGGCTTCTTTAGCGAGTCTTGTCATGTGTTGTCATATGCATGCAGGAGTTTAATCAGTGTTCCACTTTGTTCTTCTACTGTTTATGAATGAGTTTTACAACTGCTTAAAAATACCTGTAAACTAAATTTTCACTGTAGTCTCTAAGATCTTAATTCTGAGATAGTATCAGTGGAGTTTAGGGGTGTGGACAGTATCAGTAAAAATTCAGATCTTAAACAAGTTCCCCAACTATAGATATTAATATTCTTTGTAGTAGTGCCAAGGAACAACACAGAAAATGCAGAACAGTTGGAAAATTG